TTCTGCTCTTAATATTTACATATTTACTTCCTTCTAATTGATTTGGTTTTATGCTGCTCTTCTTTTTATAGTTTCCTTTCTTTCCTTTTTTCTTTTGGTATTGGGAATTGAACTCAGGATCTTGTGGTTGCCAGGCAGGCACTTGTGCCACTGAGCTATATTCCCCAGCTCATAGTTTCTTAACATGGGCACTTAGCATACAGACTTGAAACATTTCCACTTTTCTAACAGAAGCACTCAATAGTATAAATTGCCTTCTAAGCACTACTTTAGCTGCATACTCACTTTGATCCATGGATTAGAGTGTAGCTCAACATCCAAACACCTAAAGATTGAGTTACACACTTAATCCATGGGTCAAAGGAGCAGTCTCAAGAGAAATCAGAATATATTGAACAATATGAAAACGAGAATACACATATCAAAGTGACCATATTACTTGTTTTCTGTTTGTTCTCTCTGGCCTTTTGTTGACCTAGGTTGGCTGCTTTCTTCTGGGAGGATTACAAAATATGTACTTAACATTCATAGTCTACTTAGAATCAGAACTTTACTATTGTAATTTTTTTTTTTTTTTTTTTTTTGCGGAACCAAGGATTTGAACTCAGACCCTTGCACTTGCCAGGCACAAGGAGATGGCTTATTCTACTGAGTCATCTCCCTGGCCCCTACCATTGTAATTTGAAGGATAAAAAATCTAGATATTTCTTCATCCCCCTCCTCTAATGTTATAGAAACACATTTCATATATCTATATACATTAAAAACCCCATAAAACATAATTTTCACTTTCAACTATACAAAATGCTCCAATGAACTCAAAAGTAGAATAGTATTCTCTTTACCAAGATATTTACCATTTCTATTGGCTTTATTCATACCATTATTCTGTTTCCCTTTGGCAGAATTTCTCTTCTGTCTAAACAATTTGCTTTAGTAATTCTTTCAGGGGAGACCCACTCCTATACATTCTCTTAGTTTTCCTACCCTTCAATGCATTTATTTTATCTCCATTTCTGAAGGATATTTTTCATAGGATACAGGATCCTAGGCTGACTGTTCTCTTCTTTTTGGGGAAAGAATGCCAGGATTTTTACTCCATAGCCCAAAGTCTTTATTTCACTTAACTTTTTGCCAAAAAAAGGTTTTACTGGTGTGGCAAATCTTAGAAACTAAAAATACACTTTATCCACATTTTCAGTTGGAGAATCTTTCTGGATATCAGCCAGCCATACTGGAGAGTTAAAGCTTTGTCCGTCTTTATGGTCATTAAAATAAAGTGTTATGCTAAGAATTTCAGAAATATGCTTTCTATACTGTTTTTTTTTTTTTTTTT